AAAACACAAACACACACATTTTCTTGACTTTCTAACTCCCTCCCTTTGATGACCTTGCCCCTTCTCCCAGACCAAGGTCGGCCACTTTGCATCCCAGTTTTTGGGCTACCAGCAGCATGACTCACAGGAGCTGCTATCATTCCTCCTGGATGGGCTTCATGAGGACCTCAATCGGGTCAAGAAGAAGGAGTATGTGGAGCTGTGTGATGCTGCTGGGCGGCCTGATCAGGTAGAATCCCCATGGGTTCTTTCTAGAGCACTGTCTTGAGAGCCCCCATTAAAGCCTCTAGGACCTCTTCCTCAGGGATTCTCTGGCCTTCCTGGGATATCCAACACTTACATCATTTTCTGTTAAGTTCCTCCACTCTGAACTTGTCTTCAACTCCAGTCCCAACCTTAGTTCTAACCCCACTTCTGTTCCCTTACCCAATCCATAATTAAACCCAACCCACTCTCCTGCCAAAATAAATCCTATTCCTAACAGTGAATGGTGTTCAGACACTCGTAGGTATAACTCTGTTTTTTGACTTTAGTAGTAGTGGTCCTAACCCTAACCCCCTGCTCCATATGCATACACACCAAAGCCTCCCTTTACGATTACACTCTTGACAGGAGGTGGCTCAGGAGGCCTGGCAGAACCACAAACGGCGGAACGATTCTGTGATTGTGGACACGTTCCATGGCCTCTTCAAGTCCACACTGGTGTGCCCTGATTGTGGCAATGTGTCTGTGACCTTCGACCCCTTCTGCTACCTCAGTGTCCCGCTGCCTGTCAACCCACAAAGGGTCATGGAGGTCTTCTATGTCTCCATGGATCCTCGCCGCAAGCCAGAGCAGGTATGGGGAGGAATAGGCTCATAGGGACAGAACAAGGGCATGTAGTTAGAGTTTGCTTAGTTCCTCTGCCCTACCTCACGGTTTCCTTTATTAACCCACCCACCACATGCCCCTTGTAATCTTATGTGGATACTGTTTCTCCAACAGCACAGACTTGTTGTTCCTAAGAAGGGCAAAATCTCGGATCTGTGTGTGGCTCTGTCCAAACACACAGGTGTCCAGCCAGACAGGGTAAGGATCTACTGATGGAAGAAGGGTGAGAGTCAGGGTCAGGGAGGCAGAAGGGGATGGGGAGACCTTGCAGACTGACCAGTCTTCTTTCTACATCCCTTTCCCAGATGATGGTGGCTGATGTCTTTAGTCACCGCTTCTATAAGATCTACCAGCTGGAAGACCCTCTCAACAGTATTTTGGACCGCGATGATATCTTCATGTGAGTGAGGGGATCGAGGAATATGGTGGTTCCTCGGGAGCTTTCTCATCTTTTTATATGGTCTCCACCTTAATCAAATCTTATCTTACCCTCCTCTGCCTCTTCAGGCAGGAGGCTTGAGGCTCTCAGTGGGATGATGACAGGTGACACAGATTCTTACATAGGATGTACTCAAATGATTTCTTTTATTATGTGAGGGAGACTACTGTTTTCATTTTTTTCATTATATGTTGATCTCAATTCCTTACTCATGTTGTTGTTTAATGCCATTGAGTCGATTTTGATTCATAGCAACCTAGTATACTAGTATAGGGTTTCTGAGGAGCAGCTGGTGGGTTTGAACTGCCGACCTTGTGGTTCACAGTCGAGTGCTGATCCTATAGCTGTACACCTCAAAAAACAAAATGTTTTTTTTTTTTTCTCTAAATGTTACTTTATTTTGTTGTTGTTGTTACGTGAAGGGTGGTTGAGTGCCATAGCCTCAGATTCCTCCAGTCTCTTTTTGACCTGTAAACCCGGTCTTTTATTATTTTTTAAAACAATGTTTTTTAAAATAATGTTGAGTTTTGTTCCACATTTTCTCCGACTCTTATCTGGGCCCCTCTCATGGGATCCCTTTCAGGGCAGTTGGTAGTGATTGCAGATCAGTGTCTAGTTCCTCTGGTCTCAGAGTTGTGGAGACTGATGGGCACATGCTCCGTTACTCCATTGTATTAATTGATTCCAAGCCTCTTCAGTTCTCATCACTCTTCTTTCTTCTGCACATGGAGAGACCAGTAGCTGCACCTTAGACTGATGCTCATGAGCTTTCAAGATCCCAGACACTACTCACTGAAGTAGGATATAGAACATTGTCTTTGTGGACTATTGTTTAAACTGTAATTGTGAATCAAACGAAGGTTTCCAAAGCAGATCATCAGTTTTACATTCAAATCATACCTTGCTTCATTATAATGATTGTAGTCCCCTTCATGTACCATTAGTTAACAGTATTTACCTCTGCTCACTTTTGCATTCTACCTGGTGTCTCCCGCTACCTTCATGTTTCCGCTGCTCATCTCTCTTTTGTTGTACATTGCCTGCCCCATCACCCATGTTAACATATATCTACCCTCTAGCCAGTGAATTACTCTCCCCTTCCTCCCACCCCGGTAACCTTCAAAGAATGTTTCTTTAAGTATGGAAACTTTCCCTTAAATTTTTATAGTAATCTCATACAATATTTGTCCTTTTGTGATTGACTAATTTCACTCAGCATAATGTCCTCCAGGTTCATCTATGTTGTGAGGTGTTTTGCAGATTCATTATTATTCAGTTAATTCATAGTAGTATTCCATTGAATGTATATACCAAAATTTGTTTAACCATTGTTCTGTTGATGGTTATTTAGACTGGCTCTATCTTAATTTATTTATCCATCTTTTTAATGTGTTTTTTGTAGACAACGTATTCATTTTCATTTCTATTGTGTTAATGTATACTAAATCTTTCTGATTTTCCTTTTTAATTTTGATGTGAAGGTGTATTAATTTCTTTGAAGTTACCCTGTAGTTTATTAACTTCTTTTCCACTTTAAAACATCTGCTTTATCTTGAAATCTACTTCCTTGCCATTTGGAAGTTCTGTATCTACACAGTGTAGGTTTTTTTTTTTTTTAATGTTTTATTGTGAATGATATGGTAGTTTACATGAGAGAACTTTATTTTTACATTCATTCCATCGTATATCATCTCATTGCCATGGTTCCAATCCCCTCCATGCATCATGGACCAACCGAAGGGTATATCCTAGAAGCCCACCCCCTACACTCGAGATTCTGCCTTCCTCCATGCTCCCTAGCACTAGGTTCCCCCTTGAAAGCCAGTCAATTCTTGCCTTTGTAGTCCCCCCTCCCCATTTGAGTATCCAATGTCCAAGTTGCCCATCTCTGTCCACTCTACACAGTGTAGGTTTTTAAAAGGTGAAATAAACAATGGATATATGCTTGTTAGGCACTTAGAAGAGGGGAGTAAGCATGGCAAAAGTTACAGAGAGTTTGTTAAGCTACAAGTTTAAATGTTATCAGTAAGCTTATTTTCTGCATTCTCAGGTTGCTACATCTTGAGATTTATTCAACAAAGTAGTTTTTAAAAGTTTCTATTGTGAATTGAGAGATAGTATACATGGGAGAACATTGGTTTTACACTCATTGTTTCATTGCAATGATTGTAATCTCCTCCATGCATCATCATTCAACAGTATTCAACAAAGCATTTCTCAAGGATCAATTTTTCTGTTACAATTAGTTTTTTCCTTTATGCCAGTAGCTACCTTAGTTATAAATTTACAAAAGGCAATCAATGAAATGTCCTAGTGAGTCAAATAGACTTGATATGTACCTATTTTAGCCACAAAGTTAATTACAGTCTAACTTCATTTTGGAGTCTTAGTGTGTGGCACTGTAGGATAAACATTTGTACTGCTAACCTCAAGGTTGGTGGTTCAAAGCCACCAGCTGCTTCTTGGAATCCCTATACAGGGTCGCTGTGAGTCGGAATTGACTCTCGCACTTAACAGTAACAACAACAACTTCATTTAACATTATCAGTTCGTCTCTTATCCTCTTGCTGTCTCTGGGGCTAGCTGTGTAAACATTTTTAACAGACACCAAGCAGTTCTTTATCTGGATCTTCTTTGTTATTCAAGCTATAAAACCTTGACAAAAAGGCTGAATGGTTTCTTTAGAAAAGCTAAAATGAACATCTTAATTCAAAATGGAGTTTTTAATTTAGATTTCAAGTCACCCAATTCAGATATGACAATACCTTGATATTTGAAGATTTGTTATTAGTGCGTTCAAGTCTTTCCTACTCATAGCAACACTATGCACTACAGAACAAAACACTGGGCCATCTTCATAATTGTTGTTACACTTGAGCCCATTCATAAGGTTTGCAATGACTAAATATTCAGAAGTAGTTCGTCACTCCTTCTTCCTAGTCTGTCTTTGTCTGGAAGCTCATCTGAAACCTGTCCACCATGGGTGACCCTGCTGGTATTTAAAATACTCATTGCATAGCTTCCAGAATCAGAGCAGCACACAAGCCACCATAGTATGACAAACTGACGGACGAGTGGTGGCTTTCGATTGTGTGGATCATGACAAGCTATGGACAGCATTGCGAACTATGAGTATTCCGGAACACTTATTTTTCCTCATGCAACAACAACTTAAGAGTGGAATTGCCGGGTCATGTGGTAGTTCTGTTTTCAGTTTTTTGAGGAACGGTAACATTGTTGTTCGCCTTGGCTATACCATTTTGCATTCCCTCCAGCAGTGGATTAACATTACAGTTTCCCCACATCCTTGCCTACAGTTGTTATTTTTGTTGTTAAATTTTATCTTAGCCTGTTGTTGTTAAGTGCTGTCAAGTAGGTTCTGACTCATAGCAACCCTGTAAAGGGTTTCTGAGGAGCATCTGTTGAGTTTGGACTGCCGACCTTGTGGTTAACAGTCCAGTGCTTATCCTACAGCACCACACCAGGACTCCACGGGTGAATATAGTATGTTTTTAAATAGTAATTGTGAGTCTTACAACTTTGTTTACCCCTTTCAACATTGTTTTAGCTACTTAGGGCACTTTGCCACTCCATATAAAGTTGTTGTTAAGTGCCATTGAGTTGATTCCGACTCATAGCAACCCTGTATAGAGTTTCCAAGTTGCTACTGGTGGGTTTGAATCACCGACCTTGCGGTGAACAGTTCATTACTTATCATACAGAGCCACACCAGGACTCCATATAAAGTTGAGGATTGGTCAAATTATGTTTTTGGAAATTTTCAAAAAATTCAAATCTTAGGGTAAGGCAAAACTAAAATAGGATGTGCTTTGTAAGTAGATCAGTTCTTTGTAAACCAAGTTTATTATTATTATTTTTTAGTTGCTATGCAAAAAACCTTAAATCCCTTTTTCAATGAACATTTTTGTTAACTCTCTCAAGTACTCTGATAATGAGAAAGTATTTAAAAATAATATCACAGAAATAAAATGATGCCTACTCCCCGCAGATACGAGGTGTCAGCTAGGGCTGGAACCGGCGAGGGCTTAAGAGAGGACGTTGTGCTTCCTATCTACTTGCGGGAGCGCTCTCCAGCCCCAGACTTCAACAACTCTTACTATGGCCTGGTGCTTTTTGGACACCCGCTCCTGTTGTCGGTGCCTCGTGACCGGCTCACTTGGGATGCCTTGTATCACATCCTGCTGTACCGGCTCTCGTGAGTATGCCCTTCCTGAGGGATAGGGGGACATGGAGTTTGAACTATACAAAAGTCAGCTCACTTTTAACATGGCTGTGGAGGAACCTTATAGGTTTATTTCTTCCAAACCTCTGGGTTTGCCACTGCTTCTCTTAGGTGCTGAGGAAGCAGAGGTAAACAACAGACAAAATGCAGACAACTTCATCTTGTCCTTAATTGTCTCCTCTTTGGGGACACTTGGCTATTTGTGATTTTACTGATAGATTTTTATCGTAGTTGAAATCTAGATTCAAGTGATACATTTTCTGGCTTAATCTCTCCTCCCTCAATCTTTCCTCACAAGCCTACTTACTCAGGCTTTCCCTGATCAAAGTCTACAGCTGTTTGTGTCTCTTTACTAGTTGTTTATCATACTTAAATTCCCAACCTCTTCATGTATTTATATTCCGCCTCCTCTGGCCTTCTGGGTTCATAGTTAGTAACTATGTGTGTTTATCAGTAGTGTTCCACCATAATTAAGTAAAATTCCAGGTTCTGCTCATCACTGCTCTTGTGCTTCCTACCTTGAAAGTCTCCTCTCCTTTGTTGGCAGACGCTACGTGGCCAGGCCCAATTCAGATGATGAGGACGATGGGGAGGAGAAAGGTGAGGAAGAGGAAGGAGAGGATCCACAAGGCTGAGTGAGGGTCTCTACAGGCTTGAGTAAGGGTGAGGGGATGAGAAGATGGAGTTAGAGGATCTTGGTAGGTCTGACTGACTTAGGGCTCATCTTCAGATAATCCCACCTCTGACATCTTCTCTTGTCGTAGGAGACATGGAGAATAAGGGCAATGCCTCTAAGTCTGGGCAAACGGCTGGGGGCGGCCTTCAAGACCCTGGCCCAGAGCAAGCCGGGCCCAGCTCTGGAGCCATGGGCAGGAACCGGGCTCCTGCAGACAACTCCCCGGGCCCTTCTAACTGGCCCCAGAGGTCCCGGCGCAGGCAGCTGTTCACCCTGCAGACAGTGAATTCCAATGGGACCAGTGACCGCATGACCTTCAGTGAAGATGGCCATGGTGTCTCCTTCAGCTGTGAGATGTTGTTGGGGAGGTGGGTGGAGGGATTTCTTGGCAACAGGTCCTATTGACCACCTACTGTCCCTCACTCCTAGCCCAGCCGTACATTGCTATCGACTGGGAGCCAGAGATGAAGAAACGTTACTATGACGAGGTGGAGGCTGAGGTAAAAGAGGTTCCACGGGTGGGGGAGCACCTTTCAACCTGTTCCCTCCTCAGTTCTTCACATATCCTCCCCTCTAACTCCTTCAGCCAGGAGATCCAGGCCCAGGCTCAACTTGAACACCCACTAGACTCCCAGGGCCTCGAGTGCCTAGCTTCAAAATTGTGTTCTTAACCGGCTGGCATGTGCCTTCCACCTCTGCTCCATCTTTATACCCAGTTGTCATTCCCTCACCCCTAGGGCTACGTAAAGCATGAATGTGTTAGTTATGTGCTGAAGAAAGCTCCCGTGCGCCTGCAGGAGTGCATTGAGCTCTTTACCACGGTGGAGACTCTGGAGAAGGAGAACCCCTGGTAAGGGGCCAGAATGGTAACCGTTGGGGGTTGGGTGGCTGTGAATATATGATGAGATCCCTGTCACCACTTTCAACACATCTCCTTCTCTCCTTGCTCAATCTTCTCCTGCAACAGGAGCCACCAGCAGCTTAGGCATATTTGTCCACAAGACTTGTGGCTTTGTAAAGACTTAGAGTCTTGGAAATCCTATGAGTAGCAGACTCTGAGTCTCTATGAGTTGTAATCGGCAGTGAGTTTTGGGTTTCTTCTGCCAAGAATTCTCTTTCTTCCAGTTAACCACAGAATTCTACTGTCTTTGCTCAGGGCTCTGATCAAATGCCACTTTATCAGAGTGACCTTCTCTTACTGCTGTCCTGTCAAATGACATGCCCTCCACCCACCCATCATCTTTCTCTCCTTCTTCATGTTCTTTTCTTTCTAGCTTAATAATAACCACTGAGTAATACCACTCAGTAGCATGGCACATATCCCCTTTTGCAATGTTGCTTGCTCTCTTCATTAGTGAATAAACTCCTTGAGGGTGAAGACTTTTTAAAGCTCACTATGTGTTTAGTCTCACTGTTTATAATAATATTGGGTGTGTAGTAGACACTCAATAGATATTTGCAGAGTAAACAAATAAAGCATAAAGAGAGAACCAGAAAGATTAAAGCCAGACTCAAAAGTAAGACCAGCATTTCCATGAATCAGAAATGAAACAGAATGATAAAATAGTGCCAAAGGATTAAATAGTAGGCAGTCTATAAGTGGTGAATGAATGAATGAAAATGAAATGTGAAGAGAAAACTAGATGGATAGAGACAAGCTCTTAAATAAAACTAGCCTCCCCATGGGTCAGAAATCAAACGAAAATACAAAATAGCACAAAAGAATGTTAACATGTGCAGAAACCAAACCAGGGTAACAGACAGACAAAAAGATCAGCCTCTCTGTGGACCAGAATTGTAACATGAAGGTCAAAGGTAGGTGTTCAGAAAAGATCTGTTTACTGACTCAGGCTCTGTCTGTAGGTACTGCCCCAACTGTAAGCAGCACCGACTGGCCACTAAGAAGCTAGACCTGTGGATGCTACCTGAGATCCTGATTATCCACTTGAAGCGCTTTTCCTACACCAAGTTCTCCCGAGAGAAGATTGACATCCTTGTGGAGTTCCCTATCCGGTCGGTGGTAGCCTGTGGGGAGGGGATGGAGTGGGAGTACGGATGACTTTGGAGGACATGGGTGGTCGGAGGACACCAGTATTAACCCTCTCTCCACCTGCAGAGACTTGGACCTCTCCAAATTTGTCATCAAACCACACAGCGATTCTGACCCAGAGCTGTACAAATACGATCTCATCGCGGTTTCAAACCATTACGGAGGCCTGCGTGATGGACACTGTATGTGCCAGGCTGTGGGCAGGGGACTTCCTGGGGGTCTGACAGGGGTTGTGGGGACATCCCTAGTGGGTATGTGAGCCTGTGCTGAGGTGCTCCAGGGTGGAAGGAGTAGGAGTGACTGGGGTGCCTCTTGGGGGGTGGGCATGAAGGTTAAGTGTGGTCAGCTCTCCCCTCCCTCTCTCTTACAGACACCACATTTGCCTGCAACAAGGACAGCGGCCAGTGGCACTACTTTGATGACAGCAGTGTCTCCCAGGTGACCGAGGACGAGATTGAGGTGTGTTTTCCAACCTCCTTTCTTCTACTCTTGCCTTCTGTTGACTCCACACCCCCCGCCTCCCAGCCCACACTGACTCCTGTTTTCTCCTTGCAGTCCAAAGCAGCCTATGTTCTCTTCTACCAGCGCCAGGATGTGGCGCGACGTCTGCGACCCCAGCCTGACTTATCTGGTCCCCCAGGCCCCTCTGCCTGTGGTTCCCCTCCCAGCTCTGACAGCATGGATGTAAACTGAGGGGCCCTATGTTCTGTCCCACAGAAGGAAACCATCGGTGTCATTCCCTTCCCTGTGTGTGCTCCCTGTTCTCCTGTTCTCTTATCCATGTTAGGTGCCCTTGCCAGGTAGTCCAGGCTCACTTGGGGGCCACTGTTGTCATGTGCCGCTGTATTGCTCTCCTGAGGGGACAAAGAGGCCCTGTCTCTTCCCTAGGCAGTGTTCCATGCTTGTGTTTCCCCCTTAGAGCAGCAGCTCTCCTCTTTTAATTTATGGTTACATCCCTTTCCCTCTTTCCTTAACCTGGGGTGTTCTCACGAGGAGGGGGTTGTGTCTGAGCACAGTGTATTTTCTTATTGATACCCTTGTATCTTTTGCTGTATATATATAAAGCTCCAGCTTGTTCCTCACTCGGCAGTGTGATCTGTTGTTTGAATGTTTGTCATTTATTAAGTCCTTGTTGTGTGGCGCTGTAGGATAAGCACTGGACGGCTTACCGCAAGGTCGGCAGTTCAGACCCACCAGCTGCTTCTCGGAAACCCTGTACAGGTCACAAGTTGGAACCGACTTGATGGCACTTAACAATAGCAACAAGCACCAACTCTGCCTAACTGTGTACTGTGTGCTTACTGATACCCCTGTGGTTATCGAGTGCCAGCTGTGTGGTGGGCGTTACTCTGTGTGCTCATTGAGTACTAATGTGCCAGGTGTTTTTCTAAGTGCTTTGAAAACACCATTTGTGTGCCAGACTGTTCTAAGCACCAACTGTAGATCCAGTGTTGTTTTTTTTTCCAGATCATTTTACAAATCCTCACAGTTCCTGAGTTGTCATTTTCAGTTTCAGATGGGGGAAAACAGGTACAAAGATCATATAATTGCTCAAGTTCTTTCAGGAAGTCAGAATATCTCATCAGTTAACACTGGCGTTGGTCCCTGGAGGCAAGAGTTGGGGGAGGGGTTGGTGTCCAACCTATCTGGACGTTATTCCAAATCTTTTGTGTATATGACCTGCCCTACAGCTGATGTGGAGAGGGTACACCTGGACCAGACTGGCCAAGCCGACAGGGCAAATATGCTGTATTTGTTGGCCCCCACCCTCATCATCCCAGCTCCTTCAAAAGACAGGTCCCTCCAGCCTCACCCCAGAGGTGAGTGAGACGGAGTACCTACCATAGAATAGGTACTTAATAGTTGAAAAGCATGGTATGAGCCAAAGATGCCATTTAAGCACTAAATATCTCCCACCTGACTCCTCCCATAGGCGCCAATCATCGTTTCTGAGAAATAGGGTTCCCAACAACTGTGAGCTGGGGTGGGGGGGAGTAAAAAAAATATTTGTTGCCTGGACATTAATAAGCCACTCAACATGACACTTTGAAGAGGGGAACCCTGCTCAGTGGCAAGTGAGAGACCAGTCTCCTAGGAAGGGTCTCAGTGTACCTACCCCACTGTCTGCTGTGGATCTAGCAAGCCCCACTCTGCCACTCAGCCCTAGGATTAACCACCCATAAACCTCCCAGTCATCACACTGTTGGCACAGGAAAGAATCATAGTTGGTAGTGAGCCCAACTCAAACTGATAAAACTAGGCATTACCAGAAATAATCTTTTCAGATATGGCTGCATCCTGAAGCACAAAAGCTGTAATTTAATCCTCATGAAGAGTGTATGGTTTAAACACTATTATCCCCATTTCGTAGGGAAAGGAAAAGGCATTACGAGCTGATCAAAATGGGCTTTAGGTTCAGGAATGTCTTGTTACATAGGGCTAAAAACCCTCAGAAACCAAAGACTCAAGAAATTAGTCTATAGGAACCACGGCCTCATTTACCCTGAGACTAGATGGTGCCCAGCTACCTCTGCCGTCTGTTCTGATCAGAGCTACAGTGACGCATTTTGATAGAATGGGAGAAAAATGTGGAGCCAAGCATCAAATTCCTAAAAACAAAACAAAAAATTCACTGAAATACTCTTTGAGTCTCGAACCCAAACCAGTGCCAGAGGTCACATTTTAGCTAAAAGATTGATTCACACAAAAAGAATATCACCCATGAATACTATGCTCCTCTAAAAACCATCTATGAGGCCAAATGGTCACCAATTACTTTAAAACAAAGATAAGAAGGGAAGGAGGTAGGGAAATTAGATTAATGGGACTAGAACAACCAGAATGGAAATATTGAGAATGTTTCCTGCATTGTACAGACTATAATCAATGCCACTGAGCAAATTTGTATAGAAATTGCTAGAGTGTGCATCTAAACTGCTGTGTAAACCTTCACTAAAAACACAGTAAAATATTAAAAAAAAAAAACCCCACCTGATTTAAACAAAGATAACTAACATCTTCAAACAAGACAACATGTGTAAGAATCAAGACATACAGCAGATAACAGCTGCACAGACATTCCTCATATTAGAATTTGCCAGACATGTTAATGTAAAACAGTTATGCTTACTATGCTCATGAAGATAAGAATTGTTAGCAGTGTGATAAAGAAACTTTAAAAACTAAAAACGAGCTGAAAAGGAACCAAGTAGAACCTGCAATGATAAAATTAAGACTCCAGTGGCTGTGTTAAACAGATTAGCAACGGAAGAGGGAGTTCATGAACTGGAACATAGGTGTAATAAATTACGCACTTCGCAAAAGATTTTAAGTTTAGATTAATATCTTGGAAAATTAATGATAACCACTTAAAGTAGGGAGCACAGTGGCTTCCTCTAGGACTGGGAATCACAAGGCCAGCGGTTCACTATTGTCTTCTGGCTCACAGCCCTGCTCAGGCAATTGTTAAAAAACTCTTGGTCTGTAAATGCTCAAAGGTCACATTATGCAAGCCAGCCTACTGCTCTTAGGCATTTTACACAGTCCACGGACCTTGAAGACTGCAGTTACTTTGTCTCTCCATGCCACCCTGCCTTTCTGGATAAGAATCTCGTGCTCCACTCCTGCTTTTCATTCTTTCTTTTAAAAAGATTTTTTTTATTGTGAATTGAGTGAAAATTTACAGGGAAGATCATCAGTTTTACATTCAACAAATCATATAGTTTGTTTCATTACAATGATTATAATACCCACCATGTACCATCAGTTAACAGTATTTCTTGCTCCCTTTTTTTTCTTAAACGCTCAGCCCTTTTTTTTTTTAAACGGTCAGGCATATATAATAATTTAAACCTCCAAAGGGCACATTCTGCAAATCTGCATCCTGGCTGCAATGTTTTAGTCCCTCTCTTCCCATGAATCTAGAGTCCTCAGCTGCTTCCCCTCTCCATGTCCCCATCTCTGCCTCCATCTCTGGTGTCACTGCTTCTCTGGATAAGGTCCCTTGATGGTCCTAGGGTCCTTTGTTTCTGGACTGTAAGATTAACTACTCCCCTGTTTTTGTTACAAAACTTCTACCTTTATAATTGTGACAGTCGCAATTAGTTCTGATAACAATTACTCACTATTGAATCATAAGAATCTTATCCCCCATCTCCTTTATTTTTGATTTTTTTATTTAAGGTTTTTATTGTGGATTGAGTGAAAGTTTAGAGTGCATATCATCAGTTTTACATTCAACAAATCATACACCTTGTTTCATTACAATGATTATAATCCCCTTCATGTACCATCAGTTAACAGTATTTCTCTCTATTCACTTTAGTTTTTTTAAAAACAAAACAAAAAAAAAATCACTCAGGCATATATAATAATTTCTATCTCCAAAGGGCACATTCTGCAAGTCTGCCTCCTGGCCACCAGCTCTTAGTTCCTCTCTTCCCATGAATCTAGAATCCTCAGCGGCTCCCCCTCTCCATGCCCTCATCTCTGCCTCCATCTCTGGCACCGGGGTGGTCTGTTTCTGCTTCTGAGATGGCTCCTTTTAAACCTAATCGATGGCCAAACTAACCAATGCCAGCCTTAGAGTCCAGTACACGTTATTTGCAATGGTCCCACCCAATCACTTGATGAGAATTAAGAAAACTGGATAGAAAAGCCATGTCAAGTAAATCAGTGTGCCACAGCCTCCATAAAGATTCCAAGCATTGAAATCCCATGGAGCAGTCCCACTCTGTGCTATAGGGTCATTTGCTATGTGTTGGAATCTACTCGATGGCAGTGGGTTTGGTGTGGTGCCCTGGTATTATTATAAAAGTAGACTTGTAGGCAAAAAGTATTTCAAAGGATGGAGGATCACATCATACTATTCATTGTTGTTAAGTGCTGTTGAGTTGTTTCTGACTCATAGGGACCCTGTATAGTGTTTTCAAGGAGTGGCTGGTGGTTTTAAACCGCCGATCTCGAGGTAAGCAGTCCAGTGTTTATCCTAAATGCCATACCAGGATTCCATTCACTAGGAAGATCTAAATAGGTATGGTTTCAAATATATAAAGTAAAAATGGACAAATCCAATGAGAAATGGACAAATACACAATCATTATGGGAGATTTTAGCACATCTCTGTAATTAACACAAAAACGTACACAAAAAATTACATAAAAAGGTGGCATGATGATAGACTAGGCAGAAAGACTTACGGACCCTCTGCAACAAAGGTGCAGAAAAACAAAACAGATGCAGAGGACAGTCCTGGAACCCTGAGCTTCAGATGAAGGGACCAAGAAGTAGACTGAATGCTTACTAGGAAAGAAAGCTGAACAGACATAGCAAAAAAAGAGATTTGTGACCTTTGCTGGCCAAATAGATCCGGCACAGTTATCTTAAGCTTTTGTTAGCAGCTTCAGAAACAAGACAGCATATTGGCATTGCAGAGACAGACATACCAGTGAATCATGGACATAAAGCTATTGCCTGCTTTTTTTTTTTTTTTCCCTTTACTATTTTCTTTTTGTTGTTTACTTGTTTGTTTTCCTTCTCTCTTGTGTGTGTGGTTTATCTTCTTGCATCACCTGACAAGGGGCAGCAACTGTGACCATACAGCCCAGCCACAACCATACCCTCCACAGCCCCAGCCAATTGGCAAGAACCAAAACCAGTGGCTAAACATTTGAGAAATGACAACAACCAACATC